CCAAATCCATAATTGCCTGGCAAACTACTTAGTTCAAAGGCAATTACGGATAAGCAGTACATGCTAGCCTTTCCAGCAACACCAGGTCACATGAAAGAAATAGAAGAGAAAAGGTGAGCAAGTGCAGAACCCTGATTTTTGAAAGAAACATGAACAATGAAATTACAGGCAAGTTGTAAGTGATAAGAGAATTGAATCATTGAACACATGGCAGGGAATCTTGAATAGGAAGGGAGACATCTGAATTCTGAGGTAATGGGATCAATTCTGGGGACGCCAGATGTTGCAGACATCCTTGTTAAAGACAACTGAAAAATATTACATGCAATAAGCATAATGCAAGAGGAAGTAATGGAGAGACTGACATCCTTGAAAGTGGATAAATACCAGAAATTTACAGATTATGTCACAGGGTATTAAAGAAATCCAGAGTGGAAATAATTTGTGTGAAGGTTATGCCATTATTTTTAAAAAAGTGAGGATAGGCCAAATAGTCAAAGATAATGAGCATGCTTTTGGTAAGATCATGTCTTAACTATGACTGAGTTAATTTTTCCTTTTGAGAAAATCTCAAGAAGTATTGATGAAAGTAGTGCAGAGGGCATTGTCGACATGGATTTTAATAAGGCAGTTGACACAGTCCAACATGGCAGACTACTCAGAAAGGTGGAAATCCATAGAATGCAACGTAATTTGCAGAGTTTGATGCAGTGTTGGCTGAGAAACAGGAAACAAAGACTGATGGTTGATGGATATTTTTGCAAATGTAAAGCAGTTCCCATTGGCATTCCACACTTCTCAGTGTTGTGTCCTTTGCTATTTAGGAATGTGTATTAGTGATTTGGACTTAAACATAGAAAATAAGTGGAGGAGTGAGCCATTCAGCCCTTCAAGCCTGCATCATCATTCAGTATGATCGTGGCTGATCATGCAATGTCAGTTTCCCACTTTCTCTCCATACACCTTGATTCCTTTAGCCACAAGGGCCATGCCCAGTTCTCTCTTGAATATGTCTAACGAATTGGCCCCAACCGCTTTCTGTGGTACGGAATTCCACAGGTTTACAATTCTTGTGAAGAAATTCTTCCTCATCTCAGTCCTAAATGGCTTACCCCTTATTCTTAGACTGTGAAATGTGAGAAACATGATTAGGAAGCTTACAGATGACACTGTGTAGTTAATAGTGAGGAGATTAGCTGTCAAGTCCACAATGATATGGCATGATATGGTTTGGCTGAATGTAAGGAAAAGTGACAAATGGATTTCAACCCAGAGAAGTGTAAGGCAATGCATTTACAGAGGGCAAAGCTGGGGAATATTCAATATACAGAAAGATATTGAGAAGAGTAATAGAAGTGAGAGACTCTGGAGTGCATGTCGTTGAATGCAGAAGGTCAGGCCATAGGTGGCATTTTGTACAAAGTTCTTGTCACCACATCTATAGAGGTGCGAGATGCCATCATTAATCACTACAGTCTTTAGAATGTGGGAACACCTAAACTGATGTGAGGAAGTTAGTTTCAGGATTTTGACAGTGATAATGAAAGAACAGCAAAATAGTTCCAAGTCAAGATTCTGTATGACGGTGGGGGCAATGAGAGGAATCTAGAAGGTGATTCTGGCACAAAAGTAAGGAGAAAGATGGCTCAACTATGACTAACAAGGGAAATTAGGGATTGTTTTTGATCCAAAGAAGGTGACATACAAATTGGCCAAAATAAAAACATGAGACTGACGATTGGGAGTTGTTTAGATTTCCCTATAGGAGGACAAATGAATTGATTAATTTGCAATGAAATGAACACGAGTAGGTTTGCAGGTAATGTACAAATTGATTATAAAGTCAGAAACCAAGGGAGTTGTAATAGGAAACAAAGAGATGTCGATCACTTGAATGCATACTTTGGTTCTGTCTTCACAGAGGAGGACATAAGTGTCATTGGGGAACATAGGGTCTAGTAAGAGGGAGGAACTGATTGGCATTAGTATTAATAAGCAAATTATGTTGTGGAAATTGATGGGATTAAAGGCTGGTAAATTTTCAGAGCCCGATGATCTACACCCCAGAGTATTTAAGGACGTGGCCCCAGAAATAGATGATGCATTAGTGGCCATCTTTCAAAATCCTATATATCATGGGACACTTCTCATGGACTGGAGAGTAACTAATGTTTTATTTAATTTTAACTATTTAATAGAGGATGTAGAGAAAAATATTATAGAGGGAATTATAGACTGGTTAACCATTATATCTGTAGTGGAGAATCTGTTCTTAAATGAAAAGTGAGACCTGACTGGCTGTGATTTAACCTGAAGGTCACCACAACTCGGGCAAGCAATGGGGTTGAAAAAGTGGGACCTTTGTGGTGACCTTAGCCAGTATATGAATTGAACCCAAGCGGCTAACATCACTCTGCATTCATGAACAAGCTGTTCAGCCACTTTGGCTAACCAATCCCCAGACCCAATTATAGTACCAATGAACACCAGTGAACTGCATGGATACTTGAAAATTGGTGGTGGTGAAGTGTTAGTAGTTGATACTGGGTTAAATGGTAGTTCAAAATGTTTCAAATATGAAAGCATACTGAGCAGACAAAATTTTAAATGTTGATCTGATCCAAAGGAATTGACTTGGTGAGACTAGCAACAATAGAGCATTTCAATTTGCAAAGTGAATGAATCAATTGAGTTTCAGTTGGAGAAAACATCAAAATAACATAGATTTAAATAAAGAGATGGAAAAGCAAAAATTTGAGGTCAACAAGATGAAACTGACAAGGAATTGACAGTACTGGCATATAATTGACAAGTGAATCATTTCCACTGGTGTAACACTAAAAAGGGATGACTGCATGACATAGATGAGATTAGGGACTTCACCTGCATGGTACTGATGAGGGGGAAGAGACTGCACTAGTGTAATACTGTCAATGAGAAAAATTGCATCCAGTTGTTACTAAGGGTAGCGTCTGTAACGTTGACCAGGGGAGTGACTACACTGCTGAGGTTCGCAGGAGGAATGAGATTGCTGCATGACTATATTGGGGAAATGTCCCAGACTGAACTATAGTAAGATGGTTCCTGGATGACTTTCCCTCTATTATAATCTTAAGTGTGACTGTTGGTTGAATGCCCGTGTTCAGCTCCATTCATAATTCCTCGGGTACTAAAACATACAGCAAGACCTAGTCAATATTCTGATTTGGGACAGTAAGTACCAAGTGTGATTCATGCATCATAATGTCAAGTAGTAGTCACCCCCAGGCATATCCAAGACAATTAAAGACATTGCCATCACAGAATCCTGACATCCTCAGGGTCATCAGTGACCAGAAAATCAACTGGACCAGTTTTAATACTCGACATTGAGCAGTTCACATCTTGTTTCACCAAACTTTCACCACCAGTACAAGCACGATTGGTTACATCCCTTTACTCTCCCTTTCCTGAATGATTGATTGGAGCTGCAAAAATATTTAGTTTAGTACTAGCCAAGATAAAGCTGTCCACTTGATTGGGAGTCTATCCACCAGATTAAAGATCCACTATCTACATCACTGTCCCACTGTCTAGAGTGTGTTCTATTTACAAGGTACATTGTAGCAGCTCATCAAGGTATCTTTAGTAGTATTTCCTCAAGTGTGACTTCATCACCTTGTAGAATAAGGACATCATGTCTTCCCAAATTCCCTTCCAAATTGCACACCGTTCTAATTTGGCCACTTATTCCTGATACTCATTTAAAATTGTGGAACTTCAACCTAACAACTGTAGAAGTACAGTCATTTCTGATATAACGTGATAGTTCCATTCTTGTGCAATCTTGTGTTATAAGAAAATCGCACAATGGCAACACCATTTAAACTAGTGGGGCCAGAATTGTGTCATAGCCAATACAAGTAAGGAGAGTTCACATTAAACAAATAGCAGTCTAAATTCTTCAATTGCATTAAAGCCAATTCGCGTTGAAGAAACACGCATTACAGCAAAACTGACTGTGTCTTCTCCACAGCGCAGTGGTTCAAGAAGAAACCTCACTGCCACATTCACTAACAACTGGGGATGAGCAGTTCATTCCATATTTGACGTTGATGGCTTCATAACCAAGAAATAATAAAAATAAATGATTTTATCAATTGTGTACTTACCAATAGCTATTGCAGTTTTCAGGTAAGTATGTTGCATATGTTTTTATGTTAGCCAGTTTTCCTCCCAGCTACCTTTTTAAGGTAGTACATTAGTTATTCTTACATACGTATGTATTTTTTCTTTACGCATTAACGGTATTAGGGCATCGCTGGCCAGTCAGCATTTATTGCCCATCCCTAATTGCCCAGAGGGCAGTTCAGAATCAACCACAGTGCTGTGGGTCTGGAGTCACACATAGGCCAGACCGGGTAAGGATGGCAGTTTCCCTCCCTAAAGGACGTTAATGAACCAGGTGGGTTTTTCCCAACAGTCGACAATGGATTCATGGTCATTATTAGATTCTTAATTTCCAGATATTTTTATTGAATTCAGATTCCACCATCTGCCATGGTGGGATTCAAACCTGGGTCCCCAGAACGTTATCTGGGTCTCTGGATTAACATTCCAGTGATAATACCACTTGGCCATTGCCTCCCCTCGCATGACATATACGAGTGTTATCCATTCCTGTCCCAGTGTGCTGTGTTAATCAGCCTGGCTGTTGAGCACCGGCACAGAGAACATCCAAGCCCTTCTTGATCACGCCCTTTCTAGCAGTCACAGTGAATGTTAGTTCTAAATATTACATTACAAATTACAAATTCCTGACTGAGGTCAGCTAGTTCCTGACACATTTGAATTAATTTGGAAATTTCCTGGATAAATATCTATCCCTTCCAGTTATTACAGTCCTGTAGGTCACAAGGAGAACTCTGTTGTATGTTAATTTTTATGAGAAATGGAATGTTAGTAACGCATCTGGATAAAAGTCATTTGTATTTGAATGTCTGTTTTGATCTGTTTTTCAGTATTTGGAGAAGAGGAGAACCTGCAGAAATTCTATTCGAAACCCATTCCAGACTTCTGTCGAGCATGAGATGTTTGCATATTTCATTTCATTTTGCTGTCAATCTATGTTACTTGTTGAGTAATGGAGAGGATTGTGTGCTGCTGTAGTGGTGCATTTATTATACAGGGCACTTTAAAGCTGCCAATTCATTGCATTTGTTAAACTTCTTTGAGCTTCTGTTTTGTGAGAAAGTTAAATAAATTGATGAGAAGCCTTTCCTTTGTAAGGTCTGCTGAAGTATGTGAATTGGGAAGGTAGTGATAGTTTATGCTTTAACTTGCATTCAAAGATGTGAATTAACAAGTACATCAAACTGGTTCACCCTAATTAGCATAAAGGTTCTTGTATGAAGATTGATGCTTGTCTAAAACACTACACTATGTATGCTTGACATCCAATAAACTATCTCAACAAGAATCAGTACCTTCAGAAGAGTATGATGCTGGGGTGAGGTGGATAGTGTGGTACACAATTAAGAGAACGTAACAAAATGCCTTCAGTAGTTTGTGTTAGTCTTTTATATGCATATCTTAATCATAGCCAATTGTAATGGGAGGAGGTATTAACTTTAACAATTATTGCATAGATACTAGTGTGCTGTGTCACTCTACAGTTGCTATCATGCCAATATGATAAATCTTTATCAGAAAGAAATGTTAATTCACCATCCTCCCCAAATTCAACTTAGTGAGGGAGTACATGAGGTGAATAGCCTAGGTGCATTTAAAGGGGGAGTTAGACAAAAACATAAGAAGAGGGTATATTAGCAGGGTGATATGAAGAAAAGTGAGAGGAATCTTATCTGGAGCATAACCCTGTGGTGCTGAATGGTCTGTTTCCATAATGTAAATACTCTAAATTAGTCACCTTGCTTGTAGCTTTTGTGTTTTCTTGTAGTGCTGTTGATCAGTGATATGTCTTCAGAGCTATCAGTTTTCTTGTATCTTTCCATCTCTCGTAGAAGCCCATCCTGTAGAGTGTATAAATATATTGCTCCTACAAAGCACAAAATTTAAAGTATACAAAAGTCTTGAAACAGTAATTCTTTCATTCTCAAAATGTTATTTGGATGAATTGGAAAATGTTCCTAGAATAATAATGTTTTACTGCTATATGGTTGCATGAGTATTACATTTCTGGTCAATAATATTTGTTTTATTGGAATGTTAGTGATTTTAAAGTGGCACTATTAAAAGAAGAGATAGTAGGAACTGCAGATGCTGGAGAATCTGAGATAACAAGATGTAGAGCTGGATGAACACAGCAGGTCGAGCAGGAAAGCTGACGCTTCGGGCCTATACCCTTCTTCAGAAAAGCATTTTCCAGCTCTACACCTTGTTATCTCTGTATTAAAAGAATATTGTTTTGACTTTCTTCCATATTGTGGCCTTTGATAAATAAACACAAATTTCATATAATAGAATAGCAAAAGTAATGAGTTTTAAAAAAAAACTATGGAGGCTGAAGATCTGAAAAGAACAAAAAGAGAAATTGCTGGAGAAACTCAGCAGGTCTGACAACATATGTGGAGAGAAAACAGTTAATAATACAAGTCCAGTGACACTTCATCAGAAGATAGAAGATGATTATTTGAAGGTAATAAGAGGAGTGTTGGAACTAATTAAGGACCAAAAAGGGGATTTATGCATTGATGTAGAGGTAATTGCTGAGATATTAAATGAGTGTGGTCTACCTTCCTTTGCCAAGGAAAAAGATACTGTCAATTCATAGTGAGGGTAGAGTACTGGAAGAGATAAAAATTGACAAAGCAGTCATATTACAAAGGCTGGTTGTACTTAACGTTGATAAGTCACTATGGGTCAGGTGTGATACATGAAAGAATACTGAGCACTGTAAGGGGAAAATTGTAAAAGTATTGGTTATAATCTTCCAAGCCCCCTTGGATGGAGGGGATAATACCAGAGGACGAATAAAGACCATAAGACATAGGAGCAGAATTAGGTCATTCAGCCTGTTGAGTCTGCTCTACTGTTCGATCATGGCTGATATGTTTCTTACTGCCATTTTCTTGCCTTCTCCCCATAACCTTTGATCCACTTACCAATCAAGAACCTGTCTCTGTCTTAAATACATTCTATGCCTTGGCCTCCACAGCCTTCTGCGGCAATGAGTTCCACAGATTCACCACCTCTGACTGAAGCAATTCTGCCTCATCTCACTTCTAAAGGTGCTTCCTTCACTCTGAGGCTGTGTTACTAGTGGAAACATCTTCTCCACATCCACTCTATCCAAGCCTGTCAATGTTCTGTAAGTTTGAATGAAATCCCGTTCTCCTCTTCTCCGCCCCCCACACACTCACGCCCTTCTCTCTCTCTCTCTCTCTCTCTCTCACTCACACACACACACACACACACACACACACACACCCATCAGAACCTGAAACGTTAGCTTTCTTGCTCCTCTGATGCTGCGTGGCCTGCTGTGTTCCTCCAGTTCCACACTGTTATCACAATATTACAGATGTGGTGTGACCAGAGTATTGTACAGTCTCAGCAGTACATTTCTGCTCTTGTATTCCACTTTAAATGAATGCTAAGATTGCATTTGCCTTCCTTGCTGCAAACTGAACCTGAATGTTAACCTCAACAGAATCCGGAACTAGGACTCCCAAGTACCTTTGTGCTTGGGATTTTCATGCCTTTCCCTATTTAGAAAATAGCCAATACTTCCATTCTTTGACCACTCTCCAAGCCTGTCCAAATCCTTCTGCACCCTTCCTGCTTACTGAAACTATCTGTTCCTCCATCTATCTTTGTTGCTATGTTTGCAGATGATACAGCGCTCTCAGTTCCTTCACCCAGATTGTTAATGTTAACTTGAATAGTCCCAATGCTGACCTCTGCAGAACTCCACTAGTCTCAGACTGCCATTGGAAAAAGACCCTTTTATCCCTACTCTGAGTTCTGTTAGTCAGCCAATCCTCTATCCATGCCAGCACCGTGCCCCTGACACCATGGGCTGCTATCTCATTTAGTAGCTTCCTGTGTGGCATCTTGTCAAAAACCTTCTGAAAATCCAAATAGATCATGTCCACTGGCTCTCCTTTGTCTGACTTGCTCGTTATGTCCTCAAATAATTCAAACAGATTTGTCAAGCATGACATACCCTGACAAAGCCATGCTGACTCAGCTGTAAAATACAGAATGCATTTCCAAGTACTTAATAATGGAGTCCAAAATCTTGCCAAGTGACTGAGGTCAGGCTAACCGGCCTATAGTTTCCTGTCTTCTGCCTCCCTGCATTAAACAGGGGTGTTACTATGGCCATTTTTGAGCTCTCTGGAGCCTTCCTTTTGATTCCAGTGATTCCTGAAAGATCACCCCCAATGTTTCTACATTCTCCTCAGTTACGTCTTTCAGAACTGTAGGGTGTAGACTACCTGGCCCGGATTACTTATCCACCTTCAGACAACTCAGCTTCTTTAGCACCTTCTTAATGATGGCCACTACACTCACCTCTGCCTCCTGACTCTCTTGAAGTTATGGTATGCTGCTGGTGTCTTCCAGTGCAAAGACTGATGCAAAGTACCTAATGAGTTCCTCTGCCATTTCTTTGTTTCCTATTACTGTTTTTTTGGCCTCATTTTCCAGTGGTGCAATGTCCGCTCCTGCCTCTCTCTCAGCTTTTAGATATCTTTTTTAAAAAAAGGTCTTGCAATTTTTTATATTACAAACTAGCTTACCCTCAGTTCATCATCTGCCCCCTTTATTGGTTGTTTTGGCTATCCTTTGCTGATTTTTAAAGGCTTCAAAATCTTCTGGTTTCCCAGTAATCTTCATCAAATTCTATGCTTTTTCTTCTGCTATTAGGCTATCCCTGACTTCCCTTGTCAGCCACGATTGCCTTATCCTCCCCTTTGTATGTTTCTTCTTCCTTAGGATGAATTCCTGCTATGTCCCCCCCATTCAAATCATCCCCTGAAGCCCCCCATATTAATCCACTATCTTCCCTCTAAGGGGAGTGGCTCTGCTTCTAATCAACTCTGGCCAGCTCCTCCTGCATGTCTTTGTAGTTAGCTTTACTCAATTATTACACAATTCGGCCCCAGAATAAGTCCTGGGCTTCTGGAATAACAGCCAAATGATAGTATCATTGCCTCCCCTAATCTTTCCAGTTTATTTTTCATGGGCTGATTTTATAATTCCTTGCCTGTGGGTATGAACTTTTCACAATACTGAAGCCTTAAGGGTCCTAATTTCTGACATATTAAAGATTTCTATGCAAGCTCCTAAGGCCCGAAACTCCACAGATTGTATTTTTTTTCTTTATTCATTCACAGGATGGGGGCATCACTGACTAGGCATTTATTACCCATCCCTAATTGCCCAGGGCAGTAATGAGTCAACCACATTGCTGTGGGTCTGGAGTCACATGTAGGCCAGACCAGGTAAGGATGGCAGTTTCCTTCCCTAAAGGATATTAGTGAACCAGATGGGGATTTTTTTAACAACCAGCAATGGATTCATGGTCATCACTAGACTGTTAATTCCAGATATTTATTGAATTCAAATTCCACCATCTGCCATGGCGGGATTTGAACCCAAGTCCCCAAGATGTTTCCTGGGGTCTTTAACAGTCCAATGATAATACTACTAGGCCATTGCCTCCCCTAAAACACACAGTATTAGAAAACAATGCTGTGATGAATAGTTTTCCTCAAGTGAACTAAACTCTTGTTTCTCCTGAACTTGAGAGTTAATTCTTCTATTCTTAAAAACAAACGTAATGTTCCCTCCCCATTTACTCCACCTGTCATGAACTCAACAGTATCAATGGTCTCCCAGGCCCTTAATTAGAGTCCCATGTTTTCCTTGCAATGATGTTTTTAAGTCATTGTTCTACAAGAGTTTCTGACCATTTTTAAGATCCTTCAGAACTGGCCAAAATCCCTCAGCTTCTATTTGAAAATACAACTTGCAAATTATAATTGCAAAATCATAATAATGAAATAACCCTTTTCATCACGCAGGTGATATGTGTTTGTAGGAAGAATGAGGAGAGCCAGTATAGGTATGTATTTGCAGAATTCGTTGATTGTAGCAGAGTAAATTGGGAAAATAACTTAAAAGGCCCAAAGGATTATGTACTTTATAGAGGCAGAGAAATTAATTTCTACCTTCAGGTTGAGAATGAGTTGACCACCTGACTTCAGAATGGCAGCAGTTTCATGTGGAAATTTAGTCTCCAAGAGTTGTGTGTGAGCTGAATGTGGGGTTACCAACTCCCAATTAAGATCAGAGTTTGGAACATAGGTAGATGGATGCCAATGTCAGCAGGTTAGAAGACT